AAAAAAAAATTCAATTTTTCTTAACGAAAGGACATAAGTTCAAGAAAATTGTAAATTTTACCTTCCTAAAATAATTATTTTCTCTTTCTCTCTCTCTTTGTTAAATTTTATTTTAATTTAATAGTTTTCCCATTGTTAATAGATTTTAATAGTTCTGTTAAGATAATAATGTTTGTATTCAAAATAATACCAATAAAATGAATGAGTGTTAAAATGAAACACTTAACATATATATGAATGTGTGTATATGTACATACATACATATATCATCATCTATATATAACAGATGTGGAAAAATAACTTTTTGGATTTGCATAATTTTTAAATTCATATGAAATTTCAAAATTGCAATATATACGTGATACTTGTGTTCAAGAACAGTAATTACAATATGATCATTCTGTATATTTAACGTAATTCTTGTTATATGACAATAAATTGCAAAATCATAAAACTTCAACGTATTCGTGATGATTCAATAAATTAGATTACGTTTTAATGAAATCAATGACATTTTATTTAAAAATGTTAGAAAATTATTTACGAATATATATATTATATAAATAGAAACCCTAGAAAATAAATAACATAAAGTGTATTTTAATAACAAAATTGTTGTAATATTAAAATATAATATGACATATTTTTTATATATATATACATACCTACGCCTCAAACTCCTGTACTCTATTCCTTAAAATCAAAAATTTTTTGTTTATTTTTTTGAAAGAAAATTTTTATTTTCGTATTGCTCCTCTATTCTCTATTCCATTGTAAACGAATTATAGGACAAAAATATTTATTATGCGTCAATATTAATGATGAAGATGTTTTCATATTTATTATTTTCATCAATTATATTACAATAAAATTAAAAAGGAAAAGCATATTTTTCTCTTATTTTTAAATTTAAAAACATTTAGACATCTACCTATACAATATTTACATCTATATTGTAACAAGGATAAAGCCTTGATTTTATTTAAAAAAAATATTTTGTTTGAATTTGGTAGAATTTATTTTGCTAAAGCTCATAATTTAAAATTAAAATTCTTAAATTATGAAAAAATTCTAGAATTCTAAAAAAATTTTTCTCATTCTTATTTTTCAAATAAATTTAATTTTTCAAGCAAAATTTTTTAATATCACATTAATTATACGTTAAATAATATCTACAGAATAAAAAATTTTTAAATTTCCACTTTAAAATAGAGTTGGCATGGTCCATTGTTATCAGTAGCAAGAAGAATTAAAATTCAATTCGATTATAGTCGGAAAAACTAAAGAATATTAACTAAAACTGAGTTTCCTGAATTTAGATTAATATTTTTGTTTATAACAATTTGATTTTTTTCTTCCAAATCTGTTTTAACTAAATTTTAAAAAAGTTATTCTCATATTAATTTGATCAATTTAAAATAATTTTAATTCTAGTGGAAACTTTGAGAACTTTTACTATTTTTTACTGATTATGTAATTTAATTTTAAAATTTAAAAACCACTATGTAACTGAGCATGAAAAGCATTTACACTAATTCTCGATGTTTTTAATGTAGTTAATATTCGTCTGCGTATTGGTTAAATCACTTCCGTAAAAATTGTTTTAAAACTGATTTAGCTAATATTTTTTATTTTTTGTAAAATTTAAATATAGTTACGAAAAAAATTAAAAATATTGGATACAAAAAATTCTACCAATTTATGCAATTAAAACAATTTTTTAGTCACAATCTATTTTATTTCACTAAAATTTTTTTGACGCTTTTTTTTGCATCACAAATTCAAAATTTGAATAGCGACAAAAAATTTTAGTTCAAAACTATTTTAAAAGTTTTTGAGGAAGCACGTTAACAATTTTACTTTAATAACTTGTCTTAATATATTTATAAAGCGGAAAATTTTTAATTAAATTTTTTTAAAACATCTACGAGTACTATTGCAATAATCAATACAAATATTCAAACATTTAAATCTATAACTTTTCCTTTAAGCATCCTTTATTGAAAAAAAACTTTATATTCCCGGTATAAAATTCAGATACCTACCTTATACAGTATCATTCCGGCAGCTAGACTTAAGGATAGAGCATAATTATGATTCCACTTAGAGTTCGGGTATAACCAAAGATACTTAAAAAACTCTCCTTTCTTTCCATTTTCTGGCATTTCCATCATAAAGGATTAAAAGGCAGATCTAACATTGTCACAAATTTTCCAAATTAATATCCCATTTAAGCCGACACACAAATAAAGTTACGAGAAAACTACTAAAATTAATATTCGCGTGTGCAAATTTCATAATGCTATATGAGGGGTTTTTAAATTTTTCTATTTAAATTAAGGGCTTTCAGACTGACAGAGTAATGATATTTCAGCATATTTTTCACTTTTCCCATTTTGTTACAAATATTCTACAAATATTTCAAAAATTATAATAAAAAAATATTGAGGTATTGAAATTTTACTGTATTTTAAAAATCAATATGGTGTTATTGTTATCCAATAAAAAAAGAAAAAAATTATAAAGTTTTTTCCATGAAAAAAATAATAAATAAACAACAACAAAAAAGAAGCGATTATAAAATAAAAGCAAACATTACTCGAGTATATCAGGTTTAGTTGAAACAAAAAGAATACAAAAAATAGAAAAAAAGAATCAACTTTAAAGCCATGCTAATAATCGGGGTGCAAAAAAAATTGTGGAATTTTCAGTTAGTTAAATTTTTTAGAAATTTAAAATTATTGAAAATAAAATGGAAACTATGCCGGCATTATTTAATAGTTTTATGATAGTAGTAAAAAAGAAAACGAACCCATTTATTTTTTAATTTATTATTTTAATTAATTTTTCCAGCATACTTAACTGACATCCGAAAAAATATCCTAAAAATTTCATCTATAGGAATCTTTTCAGTAGAAAATATTGCTTTTATTTTGTTACTAAAAATCAGTTTTTTCATAAGTTATCCCTATATGCTTTTTCTACATAATATTATGATATCAAAATGAATATTACGGAATGAATACTATAGACATCACTTCACGTTAAAAAAAAATTGTAGGTTATTAACATGTAATTATAAGCTAATGTCAAAAAAAAAAATTTTATTATAATGTTAAAAAAAAAAAAAAATTTATACCAATGATACACAGTTAGCAGGAGAATTTTCTGAAATTTGCAATGAGCATAGTATAGATTTGCTCTGCCTATCATATTTCCCGATTTATCAATCATAACTTATTTTTTGGACGGTTTTTAACAATTCCAAATTTGACGAGTTTTTTATTCGGTTGAGCGCATTCTGTCACTTTGCTTGGGAAATATCATCGAGTTTTAGATGTATAAAGGTACTGTCTTATTTTTATTTTTTTAAAATATCAAATGACAAAAATGGGACACTATTTCAATATAATATAATTCAATTAAATTAAGTTTTAATAATACAGAAACGTTCAATATTCTTGTCAGGTATCATATACATAACTCATGGCTCATATTCGTACGAGTATCACAAAGTTAATGTAATGTAATAAATTCCACTTGTTCTGATTTTTATTTAGAATATTTGCCTAATAAAAGTGTTCACTAATATATGGCTTTAACATTATCCTCCAGTTAAACAGGGTATTTAGTTATTTTAGTAGTGGCTATTGTTATTTAGCCGTCTTGGTGCTTGAAGAAAATTTGTACTAACTAATCAGATAGAATATAAATTTTGAGCTCATAAATATACGTTTTAAATACTATTACATTTCCGTTAAGATTTTTATAAAAAAATTTGTTAACAAAATCAATGAATACTAAAAATATAACACGATTTACTATATTATGTATAACATTTGTGTATAGTTTGTTTTAATATAAAATATTATTATTTAATTTCAATTATATGAGCTGTAATCCTCAATCCTTAAGGAATAGATGTAGGAACTACTTTATTTTAGTTTTAATTTCATTAATATTATTCTGTACACATACATAAAATTTTTGTATGTAATTTAATTATTATTTATTAAAATTTTTTTAAAAATTTTCCTAAATTAGGCTATTTTTAGTATTTAATTTTTATTTTACATGTACATATATACACATTTATTTAAGTAGATACTTTCTAAAAGCGAAAATGTCGTAAATTATATTTTATATAATATGAAATTACCATTACAATTATAACGCGTTACTATTAAAATTTAGTATCGTATTACGTATATAATGTTTGTACAACCATAGATTTGAACACATAATATACTTAATATATAAATTTTTGTACATGATACATTACTCATTCTTAGTACACAAATTTAATAATAATAACATAAAATGAGTATTAAAAATTAAAAAGATAACGTTATAGCAATAATAACAATAATAGCAATAAGCAACAACAATGATAATATAAAATGTTAATTTATAAAAGTTATAATATTAAAATGTTTGTAACAAAGTAATTAGTCTAGTATAAAATTTTAACATGTTAAGTCACATCTGTCAGAGCAACTGGTGCATAAAATTTTACATATAGTACGTGCCCTTACAATATCGTTACGATATGTTAAAAAAAAAAATTTTTTTTTTTTTTTGTTTTTCTTTGAAAATTTGTAATTAAATTTAAGAGATTCTCTATATTGTTATATACTAGTAGTACAGTATATGTACACAACATAGAGAAATAAAATTTATTACATTGAATTTTTCTTTAACAGTGTTGTGTTAACAGCAGAGAGATTTCTCTCCAAATGTTGTAACATTTTTATAAAATAAAATAAAAAAAAAAATACAATAATAAAATGTACATATGTGTACATTTTCCTGTCATATAACAATTATTATATAGGAAGAAGAAAATTTGCATTTTGACATTTTGTGCTAAAAAAAAATGTTTGTTTGAATATTTTTTTTCTGATTTTTCGTTTTCATTTTTTTCATTTTATTTTGGTGACTTTTGTATACAATAAAATAGCAAAAAAGTGCATAAAATTTTTGAAAAAGAAAAAAAAATATAATAAAGTGATTGAACATGAAAAAATTAAAATAATATTAGTTTTTTTTTATTATTAAAAAATTTAAATATAAAAATAAAAAATTCTTCAAAAAACATACACACAAACGCATTCACATACACACAGAGTAGCATGTATAATCAATAAATGTGATGATGGTTTCAATAATGTACTCTGAAAATGATGTTAACAACAAAAAAAAAAAATAATATTAATTTTATTTTTTTAATAAAATCAAAAAAATTCAAAAAATTTTGAACGTCACGATCATTAAAACCTCTTCCAAATATAACACACGAAAATATTTAATGAGATACGAGAAAAATTTAAAAAGGAATTTTTAAAGTATAAATAGATAAGATAAAGAAGAAAATATTTGTATTACAACAAAAAAAAAAACCAACAGAAAAATAAAAAGGACTGGAAAAGAAAAACAAAATTTTTCTTCCACCTTCGGTTAAATTATAATATGCAGCTTATGACGTTCAATTCACTTCTGATGTTTGACATAGTGTTTATGTTTTTTCTGTTTTTAGTTGGTGTTACCTGTTTGGTTTATTATTTACCAACTGGTAGACCACATAGACCATTTGTACAAACAGCTGAATCATTATTAGAAGCAGAAAAATGTCGTTATCGGCATCGACATCTTCATCTGCTCAGGTAAGTTTATAATAAAAAAGAAGAAAAGAAAATATAAAACAATAATTAATATAATGGAGGCAGACAATATTAATTAGTATTGTTGCAGAACTATAAAAAGTTTTTAAAAATTTATAAGATTTTCGTACCGAAAGAACAACTCAATCTACGATTTTCAAATCAGTTTGCATATTGTGAGATGTTATTAGCTAATTTGTTCGTAATTTTAACTTTCAAATTCGATATTTACAAAATTAATAGTCGAGCTCATAATTTTTCTAGTAGAACTTCCCTTACAAAGTATGTTCTCAATATAATTATAAAATATATTGAAAATTGGGTCGAAAAAAAGAATCTCCATGTCCTGTAATGAATAATGAAAAACAATTTTATAGAGATTCACAAACCCAATTGCAACTTAATGTTGAAATATAATTAATGTTGGTAGTAAATTAAATATGGAATTTTCCAAAATTTTTTTTTCCACACTATAATGGGTCTTTAATTTTCTTAAAAAACATAATTATTGCTTTTTTCTCAACAAATTCTTCAAAATTGTAGATTTTAAATCCAGACAATAAATATATGTATAGTGGAGGAAAAAAAACGTGATATTTTCCAAATTTTCCTTAACAAAATTCGATACTTAAATCTGAAAATATCACAACAATAATATTCATTTTTCTTTACAGTTCAAACGGTCTGCCTCAGAAAGAAAAAAATAATAATCAACAAAATATACGTTGACATTTAATTTATTTATACATAAATATTTTTTTTTTCTTTTCTTGTTCTCGTCCTTCTTTTTTCATTTTTTTTCTTTATCATAAAAAAATGAAATACGAAAACATAAAACAAAAATTTTTATAGCCAAAAAAATGGCCATGCTGATAGAATTCTAACGGATGAGGCATCATCAGAATACGAGGATGACGAAGAAGAAGACATTAACGATGATGAAAGTGATGAATTTGAAGAAATTCCAAAAACTCAATCTAGAAAACATCATCAACAACTACAGAATAAACAACATAGTTGTCATATACATAACCAAAATCAAAATGATGAACCGTGTTTAGATGCTAAGGAAATAAATTTTATTGAAAGAAATGAAATTGAGCTTGTAAAATTACGTAATAAAGGTTATTATCCTTTACCACGGCAACAACAACATCAGCTACAATTCAGTCAACGTAAAGAGAATAATATTTCTCATAAAAGAAATAAAATTTTATACCATTGTTGTCCGCCATGTAATTTAAGCGATTGTGAAAATTTTTATATCAGTTACGAGGATCCTAGTAACATTACTAGTAACACTAGTAGTAGTAGTAATAAAGGCAATAATAATGAAATATTTACTAGTAGTATGATAACTACCTATAAAGACACTGATACTATCAATACTATAAGAGATGATAATATTAGCTCTTCAGCACGATTAGTATATTTAAATGGTATTCCAACATCAAAAAGTAATGAAATTAGTAAGGGAAGCAATATCGGATGTAATATTAGTCGAAGTGCTATCAGTGATTTTATTGATATTGATAATATTCATAAGAATAGAAAAAATAATTATATTGACTATAAAAAAAATTCTCCCTTATTAAAATTAAAATCAAAGGCAATTGTTAATAAAAAACAAACATCAGCGGCAGCAGCTATAGCAAAATCTATAATAGAAATTAAAGAAGCTAATAAAATTCAGCCAATTCTATCATTACCATCTTCAATATTATCTACAATAGATGAAAAAACGAATGTTCCTGATGACGAAGTTGACGGTATTGATGATGATGACGATGTTGATGATGATGGTGATGTAGATGATGCCTTCGATAATAATGATGATGAATATGAAGAATATATTTATGAAGATGATGATTGCTGTTCTACAACATCAGTTGATATTGTTTTAGCTGAGGGAATTGATGAAGATGCTTCAAATGTTATTATATATGATAATAAAAGAAAATGTCAACATAATTGTAAAAATAGATATATAAATAGTAATAGAATAGCATCACAAACTAAAAAGGCATTTAACAATAATAACAATAGTAATAACAATAATAATAATAATAATAATAACAGTCAACATACATCTTTAAATATTAATGCAGCTGCTTTTGCTGCTGCTGCAACATTACGCGAACATTTTTATATAATTAAAGAGACTGAAAAAATTAAAGAAGGAACAACATCCTTTTGTAATAATTGCAATTTACAAAATTATTCATCAACATCATTACCATCATCGTCATCTTGTACTAATTCGTTGTCAACAACATCAACATCACCACATCTGTCTTCAGCTCATCAAGTCTTACAAAGCTGTAATAATATTCCATGTCCTTTATTATCATCGTCCTCAATACGTTGTACAGCTTTTAACACGTCACCATTATTAAATATTTCAACACCATTAATATCTTCGCCATCATTTGTACCATCACCGCCTGATTCACCTATATTATCAACACAATTACCATATATATCATCACCATCATCTAGATTAAGATTTTCTTCATCATCTTCTTCTTCTTCTTCAAATATTCCAGCATTGGCACATCAACCATATTGTTGTCATGTAAAAGCTAAATCAAATGATTTGAAGGATTGTGTGGGACCTATTGTGGATGTATAGAATTTTTGGTATGTAAATTATACATAATATTCTTTTATAAAAAAAATATATGTCATGTAATATTATGTAATGCCACCTCAATACTTATATTATATGAGCACACTATAAAAATTAAAATTACATAACCACCATCAAGTCGTAATATACAGAAATTTAAAATATTGAATAAATGACGTTAGTTAAATGTAAAAACCATTAAGTTTTTTAAAGTAGTAATTGAAAATCTTTCCGCTATTTTAGGATTAGTTTAATTTTAATATACCAAAAGTTACTAATATTGTTAAAAAGTGTACGAAAATTTAAAAATTCTTATACTACGGGGTAGTATAGAACTACTTAAACTTGCGGAGAAACTTAATTGAAAATTTGAATAATTTTTTTTTGATGACCTTAACGAATCAAAACAAAAATATAATTGATTTGAATAGATATTTTAGAACATCCTTCATCTCTTACTCATTCATAACTTGAACCACTAAATTCCAATACATAGTTACCAAATTACCATAAGAATCGATATTAAATTTCCTTTAAAAAATTTTTAAATGGTAAAGTTTTGAAAATATAAAATAGTTAGTAATTCAAGAACTAAAGTTAATATCGACACAAGATTTTTTTCGAAGTTATTTTATGAAACTTAAGACACCATTTCTTATTTGTAAGTCGGACAATAAAACAAATTATAATGGTTTATTTTTGGATATCCAACAGTTTTTTTTATTTTTGCAATGTTTCTTTCGATCCTAGAAAATGTTAATTTATGTTTGTATTTTTGTGTCTTATGTATTTCTTTGTATTATGAATTTGTATTGCTGAAAAATATAGATCTGAAATATAGATACATATTCATGTTCGACATTGAGTCCTAAGCTATTCCTCTGTTCTCCCAGCTAACTTAATTAAGCTAAGTTTATCAAAATTTTCACAAAACAGTTTCTAAAAATGAACGCAAGAACCTTATTTGATCTGGATGTGATCAAGTGTTCGAATTGTTTAGGCATAGCTGTCATACAATTTTAAAAGCTATTTGCGTAAATAATACATCTCGAAAATTTTTGAAGCTACTGTACCAAAATCTCAGACAAAAATCTTCTTTGGATTACTTCACTGCTTATGGCAGCTGCCATACAAATTCATAAGTGAATTATGAATGACAAAATGAGTGAATAACAAAGTCATTATAAAAAAATCAATAACAGATTTGGTGCAGTGTATCAAATTATTATGTAGCTCTTGGAATAATCCATTCATATAGATGTCACATAGTTACGGTCAACCCTTCGTATATTCTCATTTCTTATTTATTTAGATTCCTTTTACATTTTGTTCTTCAACCACCTAAGTCCTTTAAAAAAAATATTAAATGTAAAATTTTTAGATTCTTAAAACTTTTTTTAACTAGAATTTTTCGTATCCTTATATAGAAGAATATACTATTAAAGAATATACCGTCGAGAAAACAAAAAATAAAAGTAATTGCAAAGAAAAATTCGTTTTGTTTCTTATTTATATTTTTTCTCTTTTCTGTTTACTATAGGAAACAAAATTTTTAATTTATTGACTTAAGGCTAGTCTCCATTATAATGTTCAAGTTATAGAATACGAATGAACATACGAACGTCTTCTATATGTTATATATACTATATACATACTGTATACTAGGGTAGGTATACCCATTTGTCTTGTGTTAAAAAAAATTGTCTCTTGAGGTTTCATAAATAACTTAATGCTAAAGAATTTATTCTCTAATGCAAATATTATTTAAAAGTTTTTTCATTCTTATCAAAATTTCTTATTACATACTTTCTAAATTTTAGATATACTTAAAACGAAAATTCCAAATTTCAACTAGAATGAAGCTTTAAATTTGAAATATGTCCTGATTGCGTATATTATTTATTTAAAATGTTGTCCCGAATTTCTTCCTTTTGAAATTTATATAAAGAAGAAAAAAATATTTCATTTTAAATATTTCATTTGATTTTAGATACTTCCCCAAAAATTAATATTTAGAGTTATAAAATCATTACGAATTCGAAATAGGTAAAACTTTTTTGCCGACCGCATTTCATAAAATAAGAAAGGTTATGTGAGTCGAGTTTTTGGCAGAAATGTGTTTCTCCATGCTAGGAAAGCCGACTTAGACAATTTTTAGAGGTCTGTCTGGCAGTCTGTGTGTACAGATCAGAATCTCAACTTGGGTTGAACCAATTTTAACGAAAATTTATAGCTGAATTTTTACCAAGAATGTAATAGTTTGATCAACTTTTGGAATTATGTAAGGCCTCTTGAACTGAATACTTACTACGGGTTGATTTTACATTTTTCACTATATCCAAAAAAAAAATCAACGTATTTTACTAAAATTTTATATATAAGCCTATAATTTTATATTACGAGAAACCACTTAACTTTTGAAAGAAATCAGATTCCAGCGATTGGACGTTTACTACGGGGCAAATTTACATTACTAAGCATAAAAAGGAATAATCAACTCATTTCTTTGAATTTTAATATGCGAATTCAGAGTGTTTAAACAATAAAATTGTAATAAAATTGTAAATTGAAAGCCTGACCGCGGTCCGAATTGACATTTCTTAGAATATCTGAGGAACTACTTGACGTAATTTTGTTGAATTTTAATATTTTGCTTGCTTGTACCTCAATGCACATCGCGGTCAATTATGTGCTAATCAGGTCAATTTTTTTATATTTAAAATAATTTTTAAAAATTGGTATAATTTAATAATTAATTTTAAAAATAATCTAATGTGTCCTGATTTAAACCAGATTTTGAATTATTTGCTTGAATTATTTATAACACACTATATTTTTATTACAATTTTATTAAACAATCAACAAAATTTTGATAAAGATTTTATTTTTCTCTGTCATTATGATGATTTTATGGTATAACATTTGAAATATTTTACAAAATTTTTCCTTACTTTTAATCCTTACATATACATATTATTTACATTGTGTTTTACGTATATACACACAATTCAATGTTGTATTTTTGGTACGACTTTCGAAACTCAATTTGCTTACACCTTTTGTATTATTTTTCAAAGGAATTAAATGTTTTTTAATAAAATATCTGTTTTTATTTTCTATAGAAGACAGTACATATATTATACATATACCTTTTCTTAATTTATATACACACATAAATAGAATTGAGTTATATAAATTAAAATATAATAGATCTGACATATGTAACATAATATACAAACAATCAAAATAATTTAAAAATGATGAAAATTAAAAGAGAAAAAAATATTATTACAAATGACAAACAATTCAAAATAAAATTATATATTTATTTTTTGAAACCGCCTCTTTAATTCTAAGACATACCTACCTTTCTTTTTATATTTTTTGAAATTAATTTTATATAAACCCTCAAAAAAGATTAATGACATCAGTTGTGACAAATTGAAGGGAATGAGAATAATTACTAAAATTTATGACTTTAGAAGAAAAAAGAAAAATAAAAATAATAAACTTTTGTTATACCAAGATCATAAAAATTTTCTCAAAACTCCAGATATAGATTTTCAGTCAAATGTAATTGAGTAATAAAATAAATAATGGTATAATATACTCAAACCTATGTATATAGAAGAAAAAGATGAAATAAATAATATAAAAGTGAAAAATGATAATCAAAATACAATGATATTATAATTAATTATAAAAAAAAAAGAATATTAGTTACAGTATGGTCTACAAGTTTAAAAAATTTCGAATAATTCGTCAAGGAAATTTGATGAGAAAATGTCGACAAAAGTTTTATAAAACCTAACATCTTACATATGAAGAGAAATATGCACATATTTCAGCTCTTCTTTCAACATATTATTCCGATTCGCACCCGGAAGTTTTACTTCAAATTATGACAATGAAGGGACTTAAAAAAATTTATGGGAACTTTATCTTATAAATTGTTTTTGAAAATTTGAATCTGATTTTCGTTCATAATTAATACATGAAAAATATTTAGAGAAATCATAACAAAATTTGATTTCCAATTTAGACAGTATCATTCGTTCCCTTTTTAGGACTAATTTGCGCAAGTATATTAGGTTTCGAAGAATTAATTAGAAGACATTTTACTTCTTCTAAATTTCAACTTACTTCACTTGAATATTACTAAAATAGAAAAACTAACTTTACGCATTTATTAAACCAGGTAAAGAAAGTTTGGCAACAAAAAGGTAGTGCATTTGAAGTTCAGGAAATTATAATAAGTTATATAATTTCCGAGAAATCTTAACAGTAATATTCAATATTGTTTTACATGCTAGAATTCGTGCAACTAAAACAATTCTACAATTACGTTAGAATTTTATTTTTAGTACTTTTATATACAAATTTTTTGATATTTAGTAGGAATTTTTTACAGTAGGAAAAATTTTTAACCTGTCTCCTCTCTCTGAAAGTGAAATGACAGCTCTTTGATGGAGGATATAGGCTACAAATGCAAGAAAATAACAACTATTTAACTGTCGAATGCGACTATTCTTTTTTTTTGTTTATCCTAAATATATGCAAAAGTTTCATATATTTTGACATACGAATTAAAATACATAATTTATATTATATTGTTATACCTAAATTGTTTTCGAAAACAGTATTTTAATTTATTCAATGGAAAAGTGCTACTTTGCAAACCATTATTTTAATCCAAATTTATTTTTAATTCATTTTTCAGTCGATTATTTTCATATGTCAAAGTAATGGTTTTTTGAGTGAGTAATACAAAATGAAACTGAACAAGATATGTATATGGCAATACCAACACCTATGCACACAAAACAAAAATTCACATTCACCTAATAATTTTTTTGAAGAGTATTGAAACAATTTGTCAAATGATTTAATTGTATGAATACCTACACATCTGTTGTGTTGATTGGTAACGAACGTTTCTTATAAAGGATCTGTTACAATGAAAAATTCTCGAACACAATATTTTGTATACAGTCGCTAGTACATTTCTAAA